CTTCATTGCTCTTTGGAAATAAAGGCAATGCCTGGGAGATGGACAGAGGGGTTCTGGTTCATCTGTTCACTGCCACTGTGGTTAAATGTAGAGGCAAAGAGCCACAAGAACAGTATTATACTACATTTTCAGGTTAAAGAATACGTTTAAGTGATATAACAATGCCACTAGCTTCAAAAATATTTTCTTGAACGTTCCAAAGGGAGACAAGCATCGTATTGCACTAAGTCCCTTTCTCAAACTCTACTTCATCTCCTGACTTGCTTAGGAACTAGTCCTACCTCTCAGACATGCTGTGAATAATTTAGAAGTGTGTTGCCATCTGCTGGAGAAAGTACGTATTTTAACACATCAACTGATGAATGTGGAAGAACAGGCAAAGTTTAAGGCGTTCAAAGACTTTCTTTAAATCTGAAACAGTAAATTTCAGACTAAAGACAGGTGGAAGACAATGGTCTGAGCTCAGTTTCATTGTCACTCACACTCAATCGGACGTTTTACACCAAAAAGAGGCGCTAACGTTTAACAGGAATGGGTGAGGGAATTAGCAAGAGAAAGGTGATAAAGTTCCTATCCCCCCTGTGAAACAAGGAAAGGCAGGTAGTTAACACTAAACAGTGAAGGGCTGGGTTTAAGAGGGATCGGAAAACCATAAAGTGCTCTAAGATCACTGTCTCTGCCAAGTTATCAGTTTCAGTTCTCAGGCTTATCATTTATGGATCTCCCTTGAGGATCAAAACGGAGGGATTAGCCACAGGGTGCTGGTGATAGGAAAAAGGTTTTCTCACTGCAAAAGCATGTACCCATCCTGCTTTTTTCACACTCTAGGACACATGGGTTACGCCCTAGGGTTTCCATGGGGGCACTCGGTGGGTTTACAAAGGGCAGCCTGCTCTGGAATTGCACATGCGGCATCAACGGCCATTGGTAGTTCACCTGTGGGAAAACAAAGTGTCAGGGGAGCCCGGTCTGCAGGTCTGCAATTGCTGCTCGGGCAGGATACAGTTCCACCCAGCCTTTACTGGTCTGCAGGAGTCTGTTTCTGACAATGGGTTTGAAGAGCTTGGGAGGTTGGTTAATGGTTAGGAGGCGGGCTCTGGCAAGATTTTGAGCTTTGATCTCTTCAAGGGTGAATTCTAATTGTTGTACGGCTCCCTGTGTAGGTTCCAGTTCAGGTTCTCATGGGTAACTGTGATACCCAGGGCACACAGCCACTGTAATTCTGTTTACTGCATTAAATTTGTATACAGCAATCAAAAGGTCACGCACAAACGCTGTTCCTTCTCTTGGGGCAAGGTCTCTTGATTGAGTGGGAGATACAGATATCTGCAGCACTATTCTCAATGCAGTTACAGGGGTGTCTCAGAGCCTGGAAGTGTGCTACACCTTTGTTGGTATCTTATGGAGGCTGGTGCCTTTAGGGAGTTACACCTATTTGCCTACATCTTTTAAGAATATAGGGTATTTTTTATGCTGATCACTGTGAAGGAATATTCTATATACAGTGAGGTGGAGTGATGATCAGTACCATCTGTAGTGGAAATCTGTGAGGAAGTCCGGGGTTTAATTCAAATTTCAATTGTGTCACTGGATTCTGCCCTTACTTTTTTCTACAACCACATCTTCCTGCCCTCTCCTCTGCACCAGCATTCATGTTTAGATCATGGATCACAGAGTCATCTGCCGCAGGGCAATGAACTGTCTCACTCTGCAGTCGTATACACACTGTTGTGCACCAAGGGGTTGGACAGGGCAGCCAGGAGTGACACAGACAGCATTGAGGAAGCCCAGATTTACACAGGGTTTATCTGCTGGGAGTCTGAACCTTGGACACACTGTATGTTTGTCAGTGCAGTTATCTAAAATTACCTGTTCCTCTAGGCATTTGAGGAGAATAACAAGCCATGCAACACCTAGTTGTTGATAGCTGCGTCCATAGCTTGGAGAAAGTGTTAACTGTTTAAGTCAAAATTACTGCAAATTGCTGCTGTGACTACAGCCATACGAAAGCAAGACAGGGATTTAGGTTTCCAATCCAAACATATCACCAAAATCTCCAAAATTCTCTCACACAAGTCCCTCTTATAGATTTACACCACTGCTACACACAAAATGTAATCATCTGATTCTCCACACATTCCTGGTGAATCAAAGAGCTGATAAATCTTTCATCTGCAAGCCTTGCTCTTCCCTTCTTTTCAAAATGCCAAATCTGTAAATGTAGCACTGGGATATAATTATTGCACATGTTTGTAAATTAAATAATCATAGCAGATGATAATGCAGACGGATGGAGCAGGCTTGTGGGCTTGGGTTAACTTTAGGCTGATGTTTTATTTCCAAATAAGGTGAAAATCTGGCTTCCAATTTAACCACATTAAAATCAGACAGGTTTCTTTCTCATGAGGTATTAGCCTTAACAGGCAATAATATCTGCCAGAATGAGAACAAAAATCTCTTCCATTTCTAGACCTGACCAAGAAAAATAAGAACTTATAAAACATGGCCTGATCTGGGCTTTGAGTGGAAAGAGCCCACCAAGCTGCACACTGAGAAGTTTGTGCACAAATGTCAACTTACCCTAATATCCACATATAGTTCAAGACAGTTTATTTCCCCCTTACCAAATAACCTTTCCATTTCCTATTGCTAAAAATATTACTACAAAGAGAAAAAGTAGAAGCATCATTGCTGAAGGCAACGGGGGAGACCTCATCTCAAATGAGAGGTCAGCTATGCTCACCCCCTGACATAAACATGAGCTGAAGCTGCAACCAATGTAGAGAATTGTAGGATGCTCCAAGGAAATAACCATCTCCTCTTTTTGAGAGAAGTCAAGAACTTCTTGGTTTGATAAATCCTGGATTTGGTACATCCAAATGAAGGCTATGATTGGTGACAATTTTTGCAGGGGATATGAAAGCTCAATAATGTCCTGTATACTAAAGACCAGCGTTTGAACAAGAACAAAAGGATTCAGACTAGCCACAGCTTATGTTAGACTGGAAATCACAGCTTGAAATCATGGGAGTGTTTGGAACAGGTATGAGCTAGGGCAGTCAGGGGAAAAAATACCCACACTATCAGACAGAGCTTGACAGGAACAGAGAAAGGACTATATGATGTGGTATCTGCAAGAGTGGGAGAATGGATCTGATAGTCAAGAAGTCCCTTCCTACCTCATTACCCTAAACCTAATGTAATTTGTTTGTGCCTTTTGAGATGCTGAAAGAGAACAGTCGCTGCTTATGAAGATCAGGATGATTAGACAGCAAAAGAATGTGGTTTTGCTATTTTGGCTCAGAGCTGCCACATAAAGAGGGTAAACAGCAGAGGCTGGGACTGGTGCTTGCAGGCAGGCTAGGTCAGCAAAAGCCATGTTCTGTTTTTAGCAAAGCAGGCAGAGGTGACCCTGTGGAGGCGTGCCATGGGAGCCTCCAGGAGCCCAGCGAGCGTGGGACCTGCCTGTCTGGCTCAGCACCGGGGAGGAGGCCTGAGGCTGAGTGATGCACACCACAGCCCTGGTGTACGAGGGTGCGGTGGCCAGTAAGAGCAGAGAAAAACGAGGTGCAACTTTGTTTGTGAGAAGCCAACCACATGCAACCGCTGCTTGTGGTGCCTCACTGCCACCTGATGTGCAAACTAAGTTTGGGAAGACCTCTTGTGTCTTGTAATGGATCCCTCCCTGTTGCAAGCTGTCCTGTACCCTGAGAGACCTTTCCCCATTGCTTCCAGAAAGTGAAGCTTGCATCTAATATGCAGTATATAGTATACTCACAGTATGGTGTATGGCACACACAGAGTGTACACATATACATCTCTGTTCATTTTATATAGGATGAAACCCAAAGGATTGTGTAAGAGACCAGTCTTTTTGCTAATGCTGTTGTTATAAATTCTGCTAGTTTAAGCTAGAGGGTAAAATAGTAAATAACTGTTGTTGGCACACCAGAACATAAGAAAACTCCAGGTTATAAATGCTATTTAGTGACACAGAAACCTGGGATAAACTTGCAGAGCAAGTCTAGTACAGTTCAAGGACCGCCTTGTGCTGGCTCCCCTTACGCTGTGCCTCAATGATCATTCCAATGATAAAGCCAAGATTTTTCCACCCAGTGCTACATGAAAGCCACAACACCGGAGTTTTTACAGAGTGTTTTAAACCAGACAATTTCTAGCTGCAGTCAGTAGAATTGCTCTGGCAATCAGGACTGATTCTAGTAGGGCACACTGCTGCATTAATGAGGTAATTTTTTGCGCATGTAGCTGCACACAACAGGACAGTGTCACTGAAAACTGGGACAGAAAACCTTCAAACCAGAGCTGGAAAGCTGACACTACTTTATCACAGTGCCAGGTTAATGGAGGGGAGGGGGGTGTCTCTCTGCCTGTTATGCACACCAAGATTCACACTTCTATTGCTTATATGCAGTTTGGTTTTTTAATATGAATATGTATTTACATTCCAAGAAGTTTACACCTATTTCCAAGCAGCCTTGTACGTATGCTAATTAATTGTGCCGTTGTTATTACACATGCTCACGCGTTAGGGAACGGTTTCCAGCGGTCATCTGAGGGCTCTCCTCAAATGTGGGATACGGCCCCCACCTCCTTTTAGCCCTCTTTGGGGCCAAACCCGAGTTTTGATGTTCGCAATGGCTCTGCTTGTTATATTCGACAACTAACCCAGAGCGTAAATCCCGCCTAGAGGAACTTGTGGCTATTACTGGCGTACAAAAATGCCGACTTTGTTTATTCGAGTGTTTATTTAGTTCGACTTTCTTAATTCGACACAAGCCTTTCGGTATCGGCGGCAGTGAGCAGAAGCGGTGGGCAACGCGCGGAGCCCAAGGCCCGACAGCATGGGCACAGGCCGACCGGCCAGCTCCGGGGGAACACCGGGAACAGGAGTGTCGGAGACAGGAGTACCGGGGACAGGAGGATCGGGACACACCCGCCGCCATTGCTGCGAGGCAGCAGCCCCGCCCGCCGACCCCGCTCGCGCATGCGCAGGCGCACGTCCGGCGGGTCAGCTGAGCGCGCCGCGCTCGGGCCGCGCTGGGCCATGGCGTCCATCCTGGACGAGTACGAGGACTCCCTGCACCGCTCCGTGTCCGTGCCGCAGAGCCGCGCCAGCGTGGGCATCCCGCACTCCGGTACGTGCGCGCCGGGGCCTCCCGCCTGCGGCCTTCCTGCTGAGAGGGGGAGGCGAGGCGGCAGCTCCGGGTGGGGAGCAGGGCACGCCGGGCTGCGCTGCCTGGAAGAGGTGTGTCACTGTGTGTGTGGGGGGCAAAGCGTTCGGCCGCGGCTTGTTTTTTCCACGGCTTGCTGTGGGAGGTGTTTAGGGACGGGGAGCGCTCGATTCCCGGCTGGGCAGAGCGGTGGTGCAGGCCGGCCCAGCGGCAGCGCGGCGCTGCTCCGTGCGGGCGGCTGTGGGCCGCGGAGCGGAGCGTGTGCCCGTGCGGTCACGGGTTACAGCCAGCCCTGCGCAGCTCCGAGCTGGGCCCGCGCCTGCAGGACACCCCCTCGCTTGGCTTCTCGTTTCTGCCCCTCTCTCAGGAAGCCGTGCTTTGCTCTGTTATGGATGCGTGCACAGCTGTTCCTGCGCGGAGTTCCTTTCCCAACTCAGGCGCAGTTTAGCAAGGAGTGAGTTTCTCTGGAGTGGTTCCTTTAGGCTGACTGCACCATGGCAAGGTGACCAACAGAGCAGTGTGTATCACTACTACGCTTTTCTGTCAAGGGAGGTGAGGCTTTGGTTACTGTACTGTTCAGCGCGGTGTCACATCAGTGTAAAGTAATGATGTGATGACCAGTCCGTTTTTTCTTTCATGTCAGAGAAATTTATTCCATTATTATTCCATGACAGATTCAAGATATATTAGGTTCAATAACCATTTTCTACTAGATGTCACCTCTCAATGTTTTTTCAGTGTGGCAGAGAAATGTAGGTTATGGGAGAATTCTACTTGGTATTGTCATGGTAGTACCAGCTGCTATGCAGAGCTGGTGTTTTTGGGTTACAAGTTTGGAAATACATAGACACATTCCTTCAAGTTTTTTTCCTTGTATAGTGTTGCCCACTGGTAACCTTTGAGGAAACCAGGTTGTTGGGCTCATACACGTGCTAAGAATTGATAAATTCTGTCATGCTGTGTATACTGTGGAATATAAATGCACTGACACAGTTACTCTGAGTCTAGATACTGAAGTAGGTATGTTCCTCTTGTTTGTTTTGACATGCATGGTTATTTCATTGTGCAATGTTAGATACAGAATAAGTGGCCTGAATAGGTGTTGTGCAGAGCAGTGCTAGTACAAGCCGTATAATGGAAAATAATTTTTCCAGGACTCAGCTTTTCTTCTTGACTGTGGCAACACTGTCTTCAGTCATGGCTGTGTTAGAGTTGAGAAATCTGCCTGTTTGCTCACAGTTGATATTGGAAGAGGAAGTTTGGGAAACTGCTTTATTGCAGCCACACAGGCAATTTTTAATAAAATTTGGGTTGGTAAAAGTTGTGGGCAATCTGAAGTTTAAGTCAATTTATTTTGTAAAAGGATACAATAGTTACCTTCCTGAAAGCAGTCCTTAAGGCTAGGTTTGCAATTTTGGAAGATGGGAAGATCTTGAAACTTACTCCTCAGTTTCAGGGAGTTGTTCCCTGTGCTTGTTAAACTGCAGGTACTGTTTCTCAAGGCTGCAGATAAACAAGCAGTGACTCTGTGTCCAGCCTAAAGTCCTGCTGCATTGTGAACTTCAAGTACTGTAGCTCCAGCTTTGAAAAGCCTACTTTGATCCACTGCATCATACTGGTGATCTTAGATCTTTGGACACATTAAAAGGTCTGAGGAAATAGGTAGCTTTGCCCAGAAATCAGGGTGTGAAATGCTGCAGTAGAATCTTGATGAAGCAGAAGAAGGACACTAGGGACAAGATGAAGGAGGAGACTGTTTGAAAGGAATGAATGTTATAAAATAGACATCTCCTTTCTATAGAGAACTGTGTATTAAGGAAGCTCATCCTTCTCCTATTGGGGACCCATCCTATGGGTGTTATAAATGTAATGGATACGGGCCTAAAGAGCCCAGAATGCTGAAATCCAATACTTTGGCTTGAATTGTGATGGAATTAAACCATAAACAGCTTCTCCTTAACTCTAAACACTTACCTCTGTACAAAGGTGCTGTTTGTTCTCTTTCCTTCCTGCCTCTAAGTTTCGTGCTGAGGAAGCCTTGCTTTGCCAGATGGCAGTCTGAAAATAAACTTGAGGTTACCTGGATGAATGTGACTTGATGATCTGGTAACATGTGGGTTTTCCAGAGTAATCCTTCCCTTTCATATATATATATATAAATAGGTATTTATTGGTTAGCTGTGATATCATGTGAATCTGTACCTTGTGAGCTTTTTGTACGTGTTTTGAACTGTAGTTCATACCAGCAAATTTAAACTGTGGCATTGCAGGTCCCTATTCTGAAAAGAGTAACGTCAGTTCTACCTAACTGGAAATAAAGGAATGAACACTTATATAAATGGGTAGTGTTTAAGGTGTGGATCAGTGTGTAAGAAAAAAGCATGTGCCGAGCAAAAGGCTGCCTACTCAAGTTGTGGTTGCTTTGTCTCTTCCTGCATGTGCATCTTTCTTCTGGGAAAAGTGTATTTTAAGGATCCTGTGGCTGGTCTAGAGGTGAGGCAGAGGCAAGGAGAAAGCATTGGTGGAACAGACAATTAAAGGGTTTGTCTACTAGTAGCAGGCTGCTTTCTACTACTACATTGTCTTTTTCAACATCAGTGGGGCTGGAATTAGAGGGTTTTTTTCCTCTGTGTTCCTGCATCATGGAGCAGACTTCCTTTTCAGTAAAACTTGGAGCAGGACACTTTTAGTCTTTTAGTCTGGATTTTGATGTAGTTTGGTGTTGTTGTTTTTGTAAGGTTTTGTCTTGTTCAGTTTCTAAGTGTTCACATTCTTTCTCCAGGATATGTCAATGCACGACTGGAGAAGGAAACACCAATATTTAACAAGCAGAGGATTGATTTTGCTCCTCCAGAGAAAATTAACAGCTTAGTGGTCTCCTCTAACCAGCTCTGTATGAGCCTTGGGAAAGACACCCTTCTCAGGTAATGCTTAATCCTGAAGTTATTCTCTGTTTTTCCCCTGCCTTCTTTTTTTTTTCCTCTAAGTTGTTAGAGAAGTTACATTTGCAAACTGGATAAAAAGCCGCGAGTCCAATATGAAAACCAGGTGAAGAGTTACAGGCATGTGAGCTATTGTTGGCAGCACACTTCCATGGTTTCTCTTTGCAGGATTGATCTTGGGAAGCCAGATGAACCTAATCAGGTAGAGCTGGGACGCAAAGATGAAGCCAAAGTCTACAAGATGTTTTTGGACCACACAGGTGAGGCAGTGGGTGATGGATATTTACAGACAGTGAGCAGAGCAAGTGCTGGTGAAGGAGTTCTCTTTCTGCTTTGTGCATAAGGAGAACAGATCAATCTTCCAGGAGCCAGACTCTTTCCCAGGGCCTCTGCCCACTGGTTTGCCCTTTTGCTATTAGCAAAGCACAGGCTTGTGCCGGTGTTGTGTTTTCGGACTCTGAAATGAGCACATGCAATTAGGGTGTTCTGAGCAAGGCTAAAGCCAATCAAAGGAAGGTTTGCAGTCACTCTCTGCTGTATGGTTTACATAGGAACTTTGAAAAGGGCCATAAAACATCTGCAGTTCACTGTAGCCTAGACTGGTTAAAAAAAACTAAACAAAAATTTGGAAAGAGATGCTCATATCTCTTGCCAGCTGCCAGGGATAGGAGGGAACTCTGAGAAGTGTTTATCCTTAGCACATTCATTGAAACAGAATACCTTCTTGCTAAAGCATCTGGTACCAGTTATTTAACGTTGCAACATATGGACTACTGTTCTGATCCAGCATGGAAGTCCCCCACATTGCCATGAATGCCTGGGAAAGTCTTGGATTAAGTATGTTGATATTGGAGTTTATCAAATGTTGGGATTAGAAGCTTGAGGAATTTGGCTTGCTTAGGCACGGTCTTGATTTGTTCTCTCCTTCTCCCTCCCACACCCCTCTGCTGTTGGCAGGCTCTCATCTCCTGATTGCTCTGAACACCAGCGAATGCCTTTACCTGAACAGAAGTGTTCAGAAAGTGCGGGCACTCTCCCGCTGGAAAGGACACTTGATTGAAAGCGTGGGCTGGAACAAATTTCTTGGTTCAGAAACCAACACAGGGCCTATCTTGGTGGGGACATCCCAGGGGCAGATCTATGAGGCTGAAATCTCTGTCAGCGAAGGAAGCCTCTTCAGCACTAACCCTGACCAGTACTTCCGACAGGTCTACACTCTGGAGGAGGAATCTGGACCTGCCCCAGTCTGCTGCTTGGAAATCGAACGAGGGCTAGAAGGGAAATTTTTTATTATAGCCACCACTAGGAAGAGACTCTTTCAGTTTGTTGGCAAAGTGCCTGAAGGGACGGAGCAGCAAGGCTTCAGCTCCATATTTGCTGTGCATGCTGACCATCTGCCCAGCTTTCGGGAGTTTCCAGCCAACTTGGGTTTCAGCGAGATAGCCTTTTACACGCCAAAACTGCGTTCCAACCCACGCTCCTTTGCCTGGATGATGGGAAATGGTGTTCTGTATGGTACCTTGGATTACAGTCGTCCTGATTCAATTCTGAGTGATGAACGGGTCTGGGTTTATCCTCCTGATATTGACATAACTGTGAACAAGCCAATATCCATTGTGCTTACCCAGTTCCACTTTCTGTTACTGCTGCCTGACCGGGTGAAGGCTGTCTGCACTCTGAATGGACAGGTTGTTTTTCAGGATCCGTTCCTGGAGAAGTTTGGCTTGCTGACACGCATGATTAAAGATCCCACAGTCCAGCAGATATGGATCCACACTGAGAAAGTAGTGTTCCGCTACCATGTCCAGCGGGAATCTAGAGATGTGTGGAAGATGTATATGAATATGAACAAATTTGATTTAGCAAAAGAGTATTGTAAGGACCGTCCAGAGTGTCTTGACATTGTGTTGGCCAAAGAGGCAGAGCACTGCTTCCAAAACAAGAGGTATCTGGACAGTGCCAAATGTTACGCACTGACCCAGAACTACTTTGAGGAAATTGCTCTGAAGTTCATTGAAGCCAAGCAAGAAGAGGCCCTGATGGAGTTTCTGATTAAGAAGCTGAGTAACCTAAAGCCTTCGGAGAAGACACAGACTACTCTGCTGACCACGTGGTTGACAGAGCTGTACCTGAACTGGCTGGGCATATTGCAGGGAGATCCCTCACAGCGAAATCTCTATTTGGATACGCGGGAGAAGTTCCGCACTTTCCTGAGCAGTCCTAAAAACAAAGACTGTCTTTTTAATAATCGGGCATCTATTTATGAGCTGTTGGCAAGCCATGGCGACACAGAGCACATGGTCTACTTTGCAGTCATCATGCAGGATTACGAGCGTGTAGTAGCTCACCACTGCCAGCATGACGAGTACGATGAGGCTCTAAATGTGCTGTCCAGGCACAGAGACGAGAAACTCTTCTACAAGTTCTCTCCGGTTCTCATCCAGCATATTCCCAAGAAGGTCGTTGACGCTTGGATTTCTATGGGCTCTAGACTGGATGCCAGGAACCTCATTCCAGCCCTTGTTAACTACAGCCAGAGTGCCAGCACCCAGCAGATCAATGAAGCCATCAGATATATGGAGTTCTGTGTCTACCAGTTGGAGGAAACCCAGCAAGCCATTCACAACTACCTGTTGTCTCTTTATGCTTTGTGTCGGCCGGACTCGCTGCTGTCATACCTGGAGCAAGCAGGAACTAACCCAAACAGGATCCACTACGACCTGAAGTATGCACTGCGCCTGTGTGCAGAGCACGGGCACCACCGTGCATGCGTCCATATTTACAAAGTGATGGAATTATATGAGGAGGCTGTGGATCTCGCCTTACAGGTACGTGTGTATCTGTGCATGCCGTGATACGTGGAAATGTAGCTTCTTCAAGTTACCTTGAACAGCAGAGCATTGAGAGGAGCTGGACAGACTCACTGGTATCAAAGTGGTGCAGCTGAGGCTTGGAAGAAAGACCTCGCTCTGTTAACATTTTTCTGTGCTTTCACAACTGTTTCAAGTAGGCAGCTGACTGACAAGCCATAACTGAGGGTGGAGGCATGGAAAGTACAAGGAAGAGTACTATCTGTCTCAAGCTCAGTCTCTGACATAAAATACCTTTAACATATCTACATTTATGCAAGATTTGTATAGCTGTTGTTAAGGATTTTAATTACCTATTCCTAGCTTTGATAATTATCAGCTTTGTCAGCTTAGTCTAACCTTCAGGGAGATGCTGTATTTTTTTCCTATTGGAATTGCTGTGTCTTTGTGAAATGTGTGGCCAGCAAAGATAATATAACATGAATTTGCCCTTTCTGTGCTGGCCTTTGTTCTGTGTTGGGTAGCAGGCTGAGCTTCAGTGAGGAGTACTGGTGGAGAGGAGAGGTGTTTGCCATGGAAAAAAGGAGAGGCCAGTAGTGCAGTCCTAGGCAATAAGATAGCAATACAGGTTTTCTAAATGCCTCTTAAAATGGACAGCAGGCTTTGAAGTTGAATGGTGGATAAACAAAGAGGGAATCTTAACTCTGTTTCCTTGTCTGTCCAACTTCTAGGTGGATGTTGATCTTGCCAAGTCCTGTGCAGATCTTCCTGAAGATGATGAGGAACTCCGGAAGAAGCTGTGGTTGAAGATTGCTCGCCATGTTGTTCAGGAAGAGAAAGATGTCAAGAAGGCAATGGCCTGCCTCTCGAGCTGTGCTCTGCTGAAGATTGAAGATGTGCTGCCATTCTTTCCAGACTTTGTCACCATTGATCATTTCAAGGAGGCAATCTGTAACTCCCTGGAGGATTACAACAAGCACATTGAGGAGCTGAAAAGGGAGATGGAGGAAGCCACTCAGAGTGCCAAGAGGATCCGAGAGGACATCCAGGAAATGAGAAATAAGTATGGCTCTGTGGAGCCTCAGGAAAAATGTGCTGCTTGTGACTTTCCACTTCTAAACCGTCCTTTTTACCTTTTCCTGTGTGGTCACATGTTTCACTATGACTGTCTCCTCCAAGCAGTTTTCCCTAACCTTCCTGCTTATAAGCAGGCAAAACTTGAAGATCTTCAGAAGAAACTGGCAGCTACCAGCCAGCCATCCAAGAGCCACCATCGTCCCAAGGATGCAGACACCATTAGCCTGGGGAAGGGGCAGCAGAGCCGGGAACAGATCAAAGCTGACATTGATGATATTGTGGCAGCTGAATGTGTGTACTGTGGTGAGCTGATGATCCGGTCCATTGACAAGCCTTTTATTGATCCCCAGAAGTATGAAGAGGAGATGCAAAGCTGGTTGTAATTTTCCAAACCTTCAACTGCCAAACAAATTGTGAAGCTTCTGTGGTGGGGATATAACCTCCAGGAGCAGGAATACAGTGACTTCTGTGCAACTCTAAACAAAGGGTAGTGCAGTCTTTTTACCATGGTTAGGGAGAACTTGTCTTGAGAAGTGGGGAGATACAGCTGTGGTTGTCTAAGAACTTAAACAATACTTAGAACTAACCTACTGGAATATATTCAGCAGATGTTTCTGCTTGCAGTTCTTCTGAGGTTCTCAGTGTGAAGCTATATGGAGTGCCTTGTTGTCCAGAAGGAATTGGGAGCAGTCTGTGATTTATGTTGTGTGGTATTTATTTTTGTGAAGACAAGCTGAAAGAGAAACAGAAGGAATTGGGAGCAGTCTGTGATTTATGTGCCCTGTTGTGTGGTATTTATTTTTGTGAAGGCAAGCTGAAAGAGAAGGGTAGTGAAGGCCGCTAAGCAGTGTAGTCTTCGTTCATCATTTTCAAAGCTAGAATTGCCCTCTGTTTCCTTTTTGTTGTGTCTATAACCACATACATAGAACATGAAAGGACAGAAGCTCTTACATATTTATATTTTGTAAACATCATGCTACACAAATATATGTTTCTACACCATGTGATACAAGAATGTGTATAATTTTCAATTATTCAATTATACAATTTTGCAGGAAAATTACAAGAGTAATTTGCCTGCAATTCAAGGTGTATAATTCTCTTTCTCACAAGCTTTATGCATGAGACCAGACACATTTGGATTTTCTGTAGGTACTGTTTCTCAAAATACCTGTTCACCACTCCTCTTTCCATCCTGTTTCTGCTATAACTGCCTTTGTATAGCGGGTCTTGGTTTTCTCTTCCCTCCAAACCAAAACTGATAGATGCAGTAATAAGGTTTCAGCTGACACTCTGCAAGCAGGAGCACAGTCTGTTTTTATATCTTGCTGTGGTTCTCTTCCAGCTGCACTTGAGCATTAAACTAAAGATCTAGTCAGAGGTTTGCTCAAGGGTAGTCTACAGCAATGATCTGTTGGTGTGAAATTTGCTTTGCCCTTTGAAGCTAGTACCTTGTGCCTAAACAGTCTTTTGCCTTCCACTTTTTGGAGATGGCTGCAAGACAATGCATCTATCTATTGCTCCAACTTGGAAAATTTTTCCCAGAAGGTAGCAATCACTATGTTGTGAGTGAGAGAAGAAAAAATTGTCATTAACAGTTTAGCAAGGGTTCCTTGTTTTGTTTTAGGAAAACAAGATTTTAATTAGGTTTTGCTGTTTGGGACTGAATCACAAAGGTAGTAATTGACAGAAGAATTGAATGTTCTAAAAGAAAAAATACAATTCTTGTAATTAAGGCAATAGAAAATACTGTCTTCTGAAAACCACCTCAGTTCTTTCACATGAATATGTGTGCTTGTCTTGAATATCTCTCTCAATCTCCTAACCACTTACCCTGTTCGAAGGGTTGTAGAAATGGGTCTTCATGTTATTGTAGGAGAATATGTGTTCGTTTCCTCAAGGATCTGACCTAAGAATTCTGAGTTCAGAACTTCAGAAGAACATCTATGTTTTTGTTGGGAGAATCAGCCTGGAACGAATGAATTTTATCAGTGTGAAATGACACGAGTAATAAAAACAGGTATGAAAGTAGGAAGACCTGAGGTTTCAAGATCCTCTTTTCTTTGGTGGAGCCATGGGGTAGGCAGCCCCATTACCACCTGGTGTTGTGTGTTTGCTGGCTTGTCAGAAAGCACTTTTTTGGTGGTTCAAAAAACACACATGCTGTAGTTTTCTTTGGCTCTGCGTAGACTTTTGCTTTGAATAAGTTGGTGGGTCTGGCAGAAGAATTTGCGATGAAAACTAAATGTGATGTCTTTTGAAGTTTACCATTAAACCTGTTACAACTGGCCACTCTTGTGAATCATCATCTTTTCCTGTAAGCAGTGTGATATTTAGGTTGTACATGTCATTATAAACCAACAGTAGCCTCCCACCCAAACCAATTCCTGGTCAAAGGCAAGAGGCTGTTTTTCTGCCCTTTAGCAGAACATGGGTATCAGCTCATTCTGATGCAGGGATAATTTCACTTTATTTTGACGTGTTCTTAACACTTGTTCCATCTCTTTTAGGTTTTTACAGGATGCTTTCCTGGTATATTAGAATTACTATAGTCCACTATTCTTTCCCTGTTTGCGCTAGAGAAGTCACATCACTAAATAGACCATTGCAGAGTGATCTGCTTGTCCATAGTATTGGAAGAAGCTGTAGGAAATGAGGCATAGCAAGTAAATAAAAACCCCTCTAGGCTTTGTCTGAGATTGGGTGGTGGGGAAAGGCACCTCTGATTCCAGTCATGGGTATTAATAGATCTCAGTTAACAAAACTAGAACTCGGTATTTTTAAAGATTAGTATGCAGTATTCTTTGAGGGCTGTAGGCACATGCACCAGATACATAAATCTCATTCTTCCTCCCCATTGTTAACTGAAAAATCATTTAGGGTCAAATGTTATAGAGAATGTTACTGCTGACAAAGACTGCAGTAGTGATTAAATGACTAGTGCCAGTAATACATAAAGGTGCATAAAGGTATCTTCTGAACTTTTTTTACATTGTCACATGCTTCAGAACGCTTCAGTAACCATTTACTTGTGCTTCTTGGCAATTTTGCAACATCACTCAGTGAAAAAGGTAAGAGGGTTTGTTTTTTCTTGGGGGGTGGGGGGTGGGTTTGTGGTGGTAGAGGGAAGTGAACTGCTTACTGTTCTCCCATAAATCTAATCTGCAAGATCTCTTCCTCTTTGCATTCAGAATAGCATTTTTATCTTTTCTCCTTGTAACTTCAGCATAGTTACATTTTAGAACTTGCAGTCCTTTGTATGTATTTTAAGCTATGAATGAACTGTACCAGCTGTTAAAAATTGTGGCCTTGGGTTTTGTCCTTGTCTGTGTGAATCACTCCTACCACTTAGCCTAATGCAGCTGAAGAACAGCATAACCAAAAGGGTGAGTGGAAGCCCCAGCCCTGTGTACCCAGAACAAATATCTAGCTACATTTGCACTGAAGAAATTCAGTTTTGCAGGAAAGGCCTAGAGCAAACGTGTGCCTACTACATGACCTCTCCTAGGCTTTGAGCAAGGGATGGGGGGAAATGCTCTGAGTTGCAGGAGACAGTGCTGTGTGTTTTGAAAGAGTTTGTAGAGAATTTCGGGTGCACTTCCTCTAGCTGGCAGCAGCTAAGTGAAATGCTGAAAGCGGTGGGTTCTGTCTCCTTTCTGAAAATGAATGGCCAGGCTGGGAATTTAGAAGGGCAAACTCTTAACCAGCCACTAGATGGCATTGCTGTCCATTTAAATACTGAGGTTTGCTGCAGACAGCTGAAAGCGTTCTGTAGCAGAAGGAAGAATGGCACAAAAGTGAGGAACTGAAGCAGGATCCCAGTGCCTTTGGAGGGGTGTGCTGGGTGCTGGAGACACAGCCTTTGGTGTAAGGTAGCTTGGATTTGGTGTAAGGATTGGAGGTAAAGATGCTTAAAAAATTGACTTTAACTAAATGGCAATTTCAGCTCACAGATGACTGATTTTCATGTTTTGAACATCAAAAGCTGGATTTACTCTGTTAATAAATGAGTATCATAGAATTGTAGAATCATTTAGGTTGGAAAAGACCTTTAAGATCACTGAGTCCAATTGCAAACCCAGTATAACCAAATCCACCACTAAACCACATCTCCAAATGCCATATCCACGTGCCTTTTAAATGCCTTCTGTGATGGTGATTCCAGTGCTTCCCTGCACAGCCTGTTCCAGTGCCTGACCACTCTTTCAGTGAAGAAATATTTCATAATATCCAATCCTAATCTCCCCTGGCACAATTTAAAGGCCATTTCCTCTCATCCTGTTGCCTGGGAGAAGAGGCCAACTGGCCCCTTGTTACAATCATCTTTCAGGTAGTTTCAGGCTCCCCCAAGCCTCCCATTTTTCCAGACTAAACAACCCCAGTCCCCTCAGCCACTCCTAAGAGTTGTGCTCCATACCCTCGTTGCTCTTTGGACATCTTTTGGTGCTCCAGCACCTCAGTATCTGTCTTGTAGTGAGAGACCTGAGACTGAACATGGCGTTTGAGATGTGGCCTCTTTTGTTTAATTGTGTTCTAGTGTAAGTGCTCTACAGACCTGGCTGATTTAGTGAACTGCACAGAGATCATCCCTGGGCTTGGAGTTGCAAAATCTGGTGGCCTTGGTTCTGGTCATCTTTGCTTGCTTCCTCTTCATGCTCTCATGACAGCAGAGTGTAAGCCAGCTTCTTAGTTGCCTGAGTTCACATTTAGTTTGTCTTGTTAAAATCACCAGTAAAGCCAGGTTTGCAATGTGACATTGGACACTGGCTTGCAGAAACAGATAAGCTAGTGTGTTTGCTTTTTACTTTTTGGCATCATAATCCCTGTAAAACAGCAAGTGGGAGTAGGTACATCTTGTACTCTAGCAAAATAAGATGTAGATTGACTCAGACTGTAGTCATGTATTAGCATGTATATCTTGGAATGGGTAGTTCCCATTCACCCCTGCCCTGTCAATGCCAACATATAGATTGTCTGTGTTTGCAAGTGCAAAGTTTCTAGTGGGTTTTCATGGGAAGCCTGTTCCTTGCCTCACTTCATCCAACAGCTCTGTACTGAGCTGTGGGAAGACAGACTAAAACTAGATTTCTTACTTACAGTAAGTGTGCTGAGGTGAAGTTTGAGGTTTGAAATGTACAAGATATGGTATTTTTGAATTTTAAGCTGTTACTGTTGAGATGGATTAAGTATTTTTCTCCAGAATAGATGGAGTAAGATGTGATTCACTGTGGTATGTATAGTGTTTATGAGAGAATCTTATGGCATCTAAAAAGCAGAGAGGGGCTGTCCAGGGTCTTGGTTTTGTACATGAAGGAAGTGATGCACTAGAAGGGGAAGGGAATGGTGGTTTCTGTAAAATAATTTGGCCAAACTTCATGTATCTGACTTCAGGGAAGCTTCTCCAGTGAAACTGTGATGTTGATGGATCTGTACTTCTCACACTGAGGTGATAAAGAAAAAAAAATTCCTTTGAAATAAGGACTTTGTTAAAATTAAAGAGCTTAGGGCTTGAAAGAGGGACATTACAAGCATTCCTTAAATTCATTATGAATTGTGCATGGATTCATCTCCTAAACACTCTGCTATCTCTGATTATGCCCAGTCCTGACTTTACACCTTCTGAACCCTTTGGGATTTGCATTTTATGGTAATACTATGATTTTGGAGACTTGTGATACTTCCCCCTCAAGTCACTGTTGGTGTTTTTCACTCCCAGATCTCATGGAAAGGCATGAGGCT